TAGACTTTTCGTACATCGATTCCAGACCCGCTTAAATGGCCTCACTGGCACTCATTTAACTTGTGTGAAATGTTGTTTGAAATTGTACTTTACTGTATAGGTCGACTGCATTAATAACATAGAATCACTCAGCAAATACGATGTATTCACGCACTGCAATTTGACGTTTTAACGTGTGCTCAACGATCCAGGATATAACTAAAAACGATGAGCCGTTTGGGCCATTAATATCAATTTTTTAAAACAACGGCTGTTTTTTATCTCCACTGCATCAGCCTAGCGCTAAAAAAACGTTAATCATGTCACTCGCGTGAAGAGCGGGTGCACTTATTATTCATACATCCATTAAAACGAAGCGTAAAAGTGACTGGATGAAAAATTCAGCCAAAAATTTTTATACCCCCGTGCTGTATAATAACTCGGATGGACGAAAATTAATCTATTAATCAAGTGCTCTCTTTGGTTTTTTTTTTTTTTTTTTTTTTTTCAGCCCCCTTTTTTTACTTTACGTCAGTTAGACAGCAACGACCTTGTACCACGCGAGCCCAAAGATACCTTCCCCTGTTTGCATGAATTGCGTGAAATTTGAGCTCAAGTGTGCCTGTATACATGTATTCTTATACGTTTAACAATACATGCAGCAGTTTGAGTTATTAATGCGTCAAAAAGGGGGGAAGAAACAGAGTGGAAAAGAATCTCAACTGCTCCTGTCATTAACTTTTTTTTTATTTTTTATTTGCAGTACTACTCATTTTTTATTGAAGACCTATTCATACTTACATTTTTTTCAAACAAAGCGCTATTGAAGAAAAACGTCCAATGTGTTGATATTACAGTTTCTCGAAACTTCGATCCCAAAAAGATATTTGTATTTGTTGTGATAATGAGAGACCCCTTTGATTAAATGACATATTGATTTAAACATTAAATCTGTTCTTGTGTGAATTTGGCTTTTCATCCGATTAAACAACATTCTAACTATGATCAAAGTGACATCAAAAGGTCGCTTTATTCAGTCGATTCAAAACTAATTGTACGACATACACGTTTAAAATTTAATTTTTTCTTCATTCATCCCACAATCCCAGATAAACGTACACAAGACATTAGCACAATATTTATCGCTTTATCAAGTATATCTGATCTGTACGATGTCATGAATTAATAAAACGACATGCACTGTGCTTTGACGATGGAAAGTAATTTACAATAAATCTAAAATTATTCCGCTCTACGAACAACGATACATCTACTCAAATTATATTTAAAGGTATCAATGATTATTATGCATAAAAAAACGCCACTCCCTGTCAACAGTAGTAGCACACTCCTCGCAAATCAGGCTTGAATAGGTACTCTTTTTTTGTTCTGTATATCATCTACCATGCTTGTGAGCACCCATGCACGCACACCTACTCAACCAGGCACTTACACACGAATGTACAACACGCAAGTGTACAATGCGATTCCCAATAAAAAAAAAAACTCCGCATCTCTTTTACATGGCTAACTTACCACCCCCATTCGATCCTTTATTCGCGCAAGCAAGGGTGTAGGGACGCTCATCGATTTCTCCACCACACATGCACGCACGACGGGTGTTACTCGCAAGCCTCGTCCTTGACCCCCCCAAGCTGGTGAGACATGCACACACGTACGCACAACATGTCGCATTATTCGAATGGCAAATATGGCACTCGCCCATGCACGTATATTATATATGCACCTACAATACAACTATCCGTATATATATATATATACGGAAATATGTCTTCCTCTGAAAGCTTGCGTACGAGATGCGCTCACCCATACTTATATGGTATGACGTACTCGGTTATTAGAAGGAACAATAGACTGCCCCTTAGAATCTGAGGTACCAAACCTAAAAGAAATGTGATGTCTCCTAAAAGCTTGTGTACAATATGTGCTCACCCATAGATGGCATGACTTTCTCGGTTATTAGAAGGAACGGTATAGGTGGTTCCTTCGAATCTGAGGTACCAAAACTGGATTGCACGTGCACGTTATGCAAATAAATTGAGTCAGACTATACGAGGTACAGAAACAACTATATGTATACTTGAGGTACCGTTACCTCTATTATTCTAGTATGTCATTACATCTGTGAGTGAGCGCATCTCGTACGTCAGCTTTCAGAGGAAAACATAGGGGTAAATGACCCAATTACTGCGCACTGAAATTTTTGATTGTACTAAATTTCTCATTTCTCAATGTTTTTCGATGTAAATTGAACCAGTTTTACTTAATCTTTATCTGCAGCATCTTGTGCGATTAAAACGACAAACAATTTTCTGTTAAGTAACTTTTTTTTTTTTTAATAATTGTTTTAGTGCTAATATCACTTGCTGGTATTACTGCGCACGGTTATAAAATTAGCACCAGTAGCTGCGCCCCCAATTACTGCGCGGGTATCTCCCATAAGGTTTTCATACTGAAGCCCTAGACCCAATTGCTGCGCACCAATCACTACGCACGACTACAAAGTTTTGTAGGTTAGATTCGTTTAGAGTCACTCAGTTAAACAATTATAAATGTCATGATGTAAAGTATGATTCTGGATTGAACGTTATTAATGTCCGTACGTGTTACAATATCCAAGCACCCAAATTTTTCAGTTTGTTTTTCTTATTTTCAGTTACCGTCGAGTGCGCAGTAGTTGGGTCATTTACCCCTATTTCCATGTAGGTACGGGCGTAAGAGCAAGAAAATTACGTCGTACGGCCATCATCTCACGTGTGTGGCCCTGTAATGCAATGCAGCGCGGGGTCGTGAATTTCAATGTGGCTAACTACCGTGCGAGATGCATTGCTTCCGCGTGTGATAAGGGTTTTATATACATATATATCTGTGCTGGACTTTGATTTCATTCGGCAAAGCTGCGACGTCCAGTCGGACAAAGAGTTAACACTACGCAATCTGACAAGACATCACGGGGAGTTTTGTAATATTTCATTAAGAAATTGGGGGACTATGTGTAACCTTTACTTTACTTTACCTTTTTTCCACCTTTAAGGGTTCGAGTTTGCGAAGAGAATTCATTCTTGGCTTTAGTATAATATTTGATAGTGGTGTATCTCTTCCATACAATAACATTGCCAACCTTTAACGAGTCGGCCAAATCAACAAGTGTTACGTCTATAGAAATGACCAAACACATTCTGTCGGTGGACGGTGGCGGGGTGCGAGGGATCATCCCTGCCCTGGTGCTGGCCGAAATAGAGAGGAAATCGCGCAAACCGATAGCCGACATATTCGACCTGATGGCAGGAACCTCGACGGGTGGCATAGTCGTCGCGGGGTTATGTAAGCGAAGGGACAAATGCTCGGCCAACGACTTGGTCAAACTTTACGAGAATAACGGACAACGCATGTTCGAGTCGTCGTGCTGGAGGAGATCGATCGCCTCGTGGCTGATGGGCGCTCGGTACTCGTGCGCCAACCTCGAGTACATTTTAGACGAGTACTTTGGCGGGAGTTTGATCGCCGACGTCTCGAGTCACCTGCTGCTCACCAGCTACGACATACGCAACAACTGCCCATTTTTCTTCAAGAGCTGGAAGGAGGACCGGAACTCGGTTGGGATGAAGGACGCGCTGAGGGCGTCCACGGCCGCGCCTACTTACTTCGCGCCGAAGCGCCTGAAGCTCGGTCGCACGGAGCGGGTGTTGGTGGACGGAGGGGTGTTCGCCAACAACCCGGCGGCGTGTGCGTACGCCAGTGGTAAGAGGTTATTTCCGAACGAGGACATTGAGGTGCTGTCGATAGGGACCGGTAGATCGGACACGAGGATGGAGTACGCTGATTCGAAGAGGCTCGGGAAAATCGGTTGGATCAAGCCGCTGTTGGGCGTGATGTTTGCCTCGAGCTTGGACGCCGTGGATTACCAGCTGGGTCGGATAATGGGCGACGGGTACGTGCGGATACAGACGCAATTGAAAGTGGCGTCGGCCGAGATGGACGACGTTACCGCGGATAACATCGGATGCCTTCACTGGGAGGCTAATTCGATGATTGAGGAACACCAGGAGGCGATTGATAGGTTCTGCAATATTTAGCTCTTCATTTTTAAGAAGAGATTGGTATTTAGCTCTTCATTTTTAAGAAGAGATTGGTTGAATATCAAAGTGGAAAAAAAATTTTTAGATGCTGCAATCACTGCAGGCTTTTAAATTGCGATGAAGCTGATTTCCTGAATCAAACGATTGTTTAGCAAGTACTCTTCAGAAAACTATAGTCTTGAGAGTTATCATCAAGTTTTGACTCTTTATTTCAGTTGTACACGTCAATAACCACGATTAAATAAATTAGGTTTGCACTTTGTGTTTGATAATTATTTCACATTTAGTGTTGTAATTTACTTTGTTTATTTTGATATGGATTTCACACGTTGTTGGATTCCTACAGTTGTCCGAGAAATACAATTTTACTAATAAATGTGAAAAATTTTCTTCAAACTATGGCAACGTTTTTGTAATTTTTACAGGCTTTTTATTATTAAAGCTTTATTGTATCATCTGATATTGATTTATTCATTGGTGGTAAAACAATTATTTCCGATGTCGTATGCATGAGCTTACTTTTAACGTCATGCAATGACTTGGCTCGTTTGAAACACGCGCACCCCTTGGTGGAATATGATTATAAACTCTTCACGATGTTTACCTAAAGTGACAGCTCATCTGACTGTTGAAAAAACTATGAACAATTGCTTATTCAAAAAATCTCCATGCAACAAAATTACACCCCCAAAGGCCTCGAATTCCACATACGTACTCCACCTGAATGTCAACGAAACGTGAACCATCGTCAACTGCCCAAGCCTGGCACACTATTACTCGTGAAACAATGCAGCAAGTATAGAGTAATGAGATGCCCTCGGGACGTGCCTCTGCCCGAAATTTCGTCAAATACAACAATAACGAAAACCACAACAACAGCTTGAAAATAAATAAAAAATAATAATAAGGACCAAGACTCACCGCAAGCTTGTGCCTGATCCTCGGAGTCCTGGACTTGCTCGGCGGCAAGAGCACGACGACGTCCTGGTCCTTGAGACGAGAATCGACATTCTTCGAGTAAACTCCAGAGCCGGAGGCTCCCAAGGAGCTCGAGGCTACCCCCAAGCCCTCCGAGTTCTTCGAGTATGCGACGTTCGTGACTCTGTTACTGCCGCCGTAAGACACGTTCTGGGTGTTGTTTACCTGCAGGAATTTGGGACGTTATAACTTTACACGAGGGCATCCTCACGTTTAATAAGATGTTTCGCTCTTGAAATGAGAATATTTTATTCGTTGTGTATTCACGTAGAAAACACATCGGCCAGTTTGTTAGAGACTATAAATCTGCCGTAATTGATTGACACTAGATATCTCGTGCATGACAAACAGCAGTTCCGTGTGTAAATAATAAGCCAACACCAACCAATTAAAATCATAGTCAGTGGGTAGCCTTGCACTTTCGATTTGTATAACGTGTGCACATCAGGGACGACCATTGGGACATGCTTTCTACCATATTCAACATGCCAACGACTTCATGGTGCGTGCCGAATCATACCCGCGCAATGTGCGGTAGATATTTATGAAATTTTTTTTTTAATTTACAGAAATAGTTTACTGAATGAATAAAGAATTTTTATATGAAATTTAAAATCATGGTTTTTAATAAAAAAGTTCTTGGAAACGGTTTTGTGGAATCGCGATAATCTTCGAAATTAATATAAACGGTACTAGTATGTATTGTCACAAATCGATACGATCCTATTCGAAATGAGGAAAAAAGCCCATTTTAAAATGGAAATTTTTAACAAGATTTTTATCTCCTGTTTTTGACGATTGACCTCATCTGTAGTTATAATAGCACGTTGTATCTCAATAAAAATTTCTGAAAGTTACAATTATTTATGTTCTCCTTCATCAGTTTCACCCCAATATTCATAATAATCTCAGAAGTGCGACTCAATTGTTGCACCATATCGTACACACGTGTTGGGTGCAGTGTGCGTTCTATAGTGCTTCTAAGGTAACGTGTTATTGACGTATATACAATAAGACATTGAAGCTTTTCTCTCTTCGTACCTACATCCCACTGCCAATGGAAACACCATTGTCACTTTGGTACAGAAATAGAAAACTAATAAACACAAAAGCCAATTACATTCAATACATTATTGTGCAACGCGTGTGCTAATATATTAATATATAGGATTGTCTGGTGTTAAACGACAGTTTGCAAACATGTACGACACTTTTGCATACTTGCTCGGACTCTCGAGTAAACTTTGGTGAGTGGATATATTGACATATACGTGATACTGTGTTCAACAACAACATTCACATAAACAGCAGCAGCGAAGACGACGACGACGACGACGACGATATCAAAGTCGCTCAAAATACAAAAACACGCAACCACAGTACTTAATATACACAGTGAGCAAAAACGTAAAAAAACACAGACAAAATTAACCTGGACGAGAATATGACAAGCCTGCGAGGCGATTTGTAGGAGCCCGTCCTGCAGATTGCGGCCCGGGTGATCGTCAGCGGTTTCTCGTGCCCCTCTGCCCCAGCCGAAGAAAGACATTTTTTCGGCCGGAGGACCAGCGCGCGTTACCACCAGCTCGACCCTCGCTCGGTTCCCGCGCGATTTCTCGTACGTCTTATCATGACTTTCATTTTTTCTTTCTTTTCAATGCTCGCGGAACGGGCATTGTCACTCACACAGCCACGGGGGCAATACCTCGTTTTACAACCTGGAACAAAATCGACGACGACTCTGCTGTCGTATATACTATGCTCGTGTGGACATGGAAAATCGATGCTCTAAAAACAAAAAAAAAAAAAAGGTAAACAAGAGTAGGCGTTGTGTACGCGTTCGAGAATCCCGTGTGTACGTGTGTCGGTGGTGTAATGATAGCTTTCGCGTACGGCGAGCGTATACGGGGCGAAAAGAGGGCAATATAAGAAATGAAGGATGCTCGAGAAAAGTTAATGAAGCCGGGTCACGCTTTGCAAATTTTCTCTTTTCGATCTTCGAGTGTCGTGCATGGGTGTATCCATATTTCTCTTTTCCTTTTTTTTCCTTTTTTTTTTTTTTTTTTCCTGTGTAGTATCGAGTGCGTACATGCGTACGTCTGGGGATCAGGGAACATAAAATTAAATGTGATTGAGATACGTCGGTTATTTTCGTGAGAAAAAAAAATTCAACTTTGTCGTGGTCGAGATGTACATTTGTTTTTGTTTTTCACTACTGAGGACACACGGCTACTTACCCTCGGAATAAATCCCCCGTTTGCACGGGATAGTGAAACAAATTAAAGTCTCGGACGATTTTTCCCTCTTCCCGTGTGGAAAATCGATATCACGTGACAATCGTAAAATCGAGCTGGCATTTCGAAAATGACGCAGTACAATAAAGAAAGGCGTGTCTATTCTTTGGTAAGAAAAAGCTCGAGGGCCGTATATTATGTAGTTTTATTCGAAGCTCCGATTATTCACGTGTTCCAGTGTACAAGTGCAAAAGCTCTGAATTTGATTTTCACCGGAGGTGCTCTACGTGGAAGTAAAGAAAGGGGGACGCGTCCGTGGTATAATTTTTGGAATAATTACCGACTCATCGGTCCTAGTGCTCTCCTTACCTGCTGGTTTTAACCACAAATTTCGTCGCTTTTCTCGGTTACCACGTGCCATTATTATAGATCACTGGGTAACGAGCTGTTTCACGCAAGAAATAACACAGACACGCGTTTTATCATTAAAAAAAACACTCCCCTGACCTTGAACGACAATTTACGGTTCACCCTCTAACCGGTTATTTGGTGAGTCGAGCTTTTTTTCTTTTTAGGGCGTAATCTATTCCGAACGAGTTTTCTCCCACCGCGGAAAAAAAAACTTTAACTTGTATTCGTATACCATGTGCGCGTGTGTCGAAGGGGTGAATTTATATTTTGCTTCGAAGACAACGAGGCTCATTTACTTACGTGGAGCAAACTGGCTTTTCGAAGACGCCGTCAAATCGAGTTTTATTGGCTGCAGTTAAGTTGTAAAAGGGAGGGAACCGATGAGTTTTTAATGCGGGAAAGCAAACGAAATAACACATTTATCGCGTCGATTTCATTTACGATGCGAGCACAGCTGGTATATTTTTCAATTAATTATGCACGGTTGTTTCGATAATCATCGCAAATCGAGTTGTTCCATGTAAATGATTCCTGTCGATTTTCGAATTTAATCAAGCGAATCGTCAAGTTTCATGGCATCAGGGCCATTTTCCTTATTTGTCGTAAATTTTTTATCCACGTAATTATACACCCACGTGTATAGTCAATATCATTCGTGCTAATGAAATTTTCAGGGTATTAAAAAGAAATGGGGGGAAAAAAAACTGTCGCACACCAGTCGATATAATACCAATCAGTGGAAATCGAACGACCAAGCTTGCACGATAATTCTTGCAGTATATGTAATTAAATGGTAAAAAAAAAAAAAATACCAATAATCAATGAGCACGTACATAAAGTATAATATACCAAAAGAGGGGGAAAGATAAAACTACCAAGAATATTTCGAAATGAAAGACTGTAAATATCGAAGGAAGGTGGAAAATCTCAGATGTAAGAAAAATGAGACGTGCACAGGTTTGTTCCTCGGACTTACAGGTCCACAAACTCTGGTATAGTTGACGAACCAATAGACACGATAATGTTCAACGCAATCGCCGATGAGTTTCAAACGTCGAGCTCATTCCTCTTAGAAATCGGGCCCAAACCCAAAAGATCACTCTATACCGTTCATGAGTTATTTGTTAAACAACACAGGTTTCACAGTACTCCCGAAAGTCCCCCTGCCGATCCAATGTCAAGTTCGACACACGCAGTCGGCGCTCCAGTCACGCGGAGCGCAAAGAGCTTACTAAAGCGCCCAAGGTATACGCCGGTTGAAAAAGACAGCCCGTCCGTGGTGCCGGAGCTTGCGTGGCAATGTACTGCTCAGGCCTAGAAAAACAGAGTCCACGTGTACACACCTTCGTAGTACCTGTCCAGGTAAGAGAGTCCGGGGGGTGGGAGGCCTGTAGGTCGCGTAGGTGTATATCAAAGCAGGGGACGATTGTTGCTTCTTGGCGTATTGGGCACACATGCCGGAGAGAGAGAGAGAGGGAGGAAGAGCTTGCGGTTGCCGAAGACCTGCGCGCTCGTGGTTGACCTCGATACAGAGTACGTGCACGCGTGTGTGGGGGTTGGGGTGGCGTGCGACGACCATACCTAGGTATGTATACACTTATGTAGGGTAAACGCCGCACGCGATGGGAAACACGAGTTGGGTCCGCCAAGTGTAAGGAGAGTAAGTTGTACACATGAACGGTGTTGGTGTACACTTCCATCGAGCGTGTATAATGTGATGTATAGCTTCCCCCCGGCGGAAGTGTATTTGCCGAGTTTGGTGAGTCGAGGGGGAAAGGACCATATATATGTTTGTTGTTGCGCTGACAATCGCGTCGAGAGTTATGTTTGCGTTCGCGGACAGAGTTCGGAGCTTTTTCGTGTCCTGGCAATGCTCCGAGAAAACCATACCGTTGCGTGAACTATACTACTGGTGCTGGATCGATATGTGCTTGCGCTGGACACTCGAGTGGATTGTATAAATATGTAGCTCTTTTCATTTACGAGGGTATGAAATTTTCTCGTGGGAAGGAGGAAAAAGGAAAAAAAAAAAAAAAAATGGTTCATGCACGGTAGACAATGAACGAGTGCCGAATACTGTTCCTCCGGCACACGAGGTCACGTCAACTATATACCCACTTGATCTTTCGCCCGCCCTGTGACCTCCTGTTGTCAGCAGTTGTCAAACCTTTTTTTTTTTTTTTTTTTACACCAGTCTGTATTCATACATGTATACATTTGTGTACGTGTGGGTGGTGTGTATTTATCGTGTTGGCGTGATTCGGGAATAAGTTCCGACGAGGGACGCACGAACGTCGAGTCACGAGGGTTGCGGCAAATTAGGACGAATCGCGGACAACTAGTCCAAAGTTTTGCAAGCTTCATTTCGGTGGGTAGGTGTGGGTCTGGATCGAAATTATTTGGGGTAGAGGGAGAGAGAGAGAGTTGATGAGTTATGTAATGAGCGGATAAGAGTCGTGGTTGGTTTTTATGCGTCTGTAGGGTCCTTGAGATATTTTTTGTCATTTCTTTTTTTACAACTATTTGTTTTTTGTAATGAGAAAAGGAGCTTTTTTTTCTATTGCAGCTCTATGAAACTTTCATATGATGAGGTCATGTTTTTTCTTCGATTAATAGAAGAGCAAATCAGTTTGAAAAATGCTTCTGTTTTACGTAACGAGATTGGTCTCAATGATTATAAATTACCACCTACTCTGCTGTTAAACATGACGAATAAAATTAGAGAGCGCTTACAATTGTATACCATTGACGGTGCATTAATTTCTGCAGCAAATGATAATTTATAGGCGTCATGTGATTGTTTTAGATTTTGTGGCGTGGGTTTATAACGAGGAAGAAAAATGTTACGAAATCCTCAACAGAAAGTATATTATCAAATAAAGCATGGTATACTCTTATATGTTGCATTGTGTAACAAACGTTATTTTTTCTTTTTTTTTTTTTTTTTCTTTCGAGTTTACAATTGTCACAAAACGTCAACTTTTATTGTTGTTTGTATCGGATTATCCTCAACAGCCTATTGATAGTTTCAAAGTGAAAAGTAAACTTTGAACTTTGTTTATAATGAGGACTCGTGTAAGTTATGATGAAAAATGTTACAAAAACATTTTAAAAATAAATTTATCCCAGCCTAACATAGCAACAAACGATATCTCCGATAAATATCCTTGTCGACTGGGATCAAAAGCTCTCGAAATGCACACACGTGTATGCATAAATTGATCATTCACCGGCACCACGTCCTTTTGCAAATACATTATCAACAATATTAAAACACATTGTGTACTCGTAACATACAGTCCCATACAACAGACATCGAAGCCGCCAAAATCAGAGCCGTACTTTCCATATTTCATTATTCAAATAATAAAGAGATCGTATACATATCTCGAAGCGATTTCACATGTGTAATTATGCGTAAGAGTTCGACGTTGAATCCTACTCGTGAGAGATGTAATGTGCAAATTTTAATATAACGTTCGAGCACTTGATGCAAATAACTTTATTCGAGAACGAGTGGGCTTTCGAGCGAGAAAATCAATCATCGGGCAAACATCCGTGCGAGAGACCAATATATATCGGCTGACACGCGTTTCTCAAAATACACCTCCGATGTATCACGGAAAACCTGTATGCTCGTGTCACAAAATTCTTTTTTTTTCTTTTTTTTTTATTGGAACATGTGAAAAAGACGCGCAGACACCTGTGTCGTAGGCAAAGGAAACGGCTGGAGGGAGGAGAACAAAGATGTATAGAGGGAAGGGAAGTGGATGGCCGTGGCCGTGCAATTATACGACAATCAGGCCACCTGAGACTCCCCAGCGTCCCTTGCACCTCCGAGCGGCTCTACCTCCATTGCTCGTCGGTCTTTTGTCCGGTGGACCATTGCTTTTATTGCGTATCTATACTACCGTGTAATCAACAGAGTGG